ACACTGCCGATACGTCCTCCATGTATGAAACTTAGTTCATCGAGATGCAAAGATTGCAATTTTCACTCGAGGTGTGTGAAATTATATTTTTCACTGTCGAAGGTGATTATTTTCTCACTACAATTTATTTCATTGTTTCTTAATTATCAAGATAGTTCGTTTCTCGCGTTAACTTCCTCGGTAAAATAACAAGTCGCTCTCAGTTATTGTCGTTGCGCAATTGCGCGAACTAAAAGCTACAGAAGACAAAATGTCCTGTTACACGCGCCGTCTTTGCAATTCGTCCCAACGTCCGAATCGACGCGACAGAGAAACGCCCGAGGTTCTCCAGCACTCCCTGATCGATTTATCTTGAATATTTCCGCGCACGATTATTATGTACAACTCAGTTCATGCATACTNCCCCCCCCCCCCGCGAAAAGGCAAATAACTTAAGAGCGCTTTCGGGGGCGAGTGGTTATCGCGACAGTGTCGCGATTTATATTCGCCGTCGACGCCGGTCGTTCGTCTCCGCGTAAGTTTCGCGTCGGCGGAGTTTTTCCGCGACGGTGAGGCTAGGCGATACGTTTTCCAGCGGAAGCTGGCGTTGAAACAATGAACCGACCAACCGGCGTGCACCCTGCAAATCTCCAGGCTTAGCGCCCCCATTGTCACCCCCCCGGCCGCCCTTTTCCGCTCACATCCGCAAACCCACCCCAGGCCCACCCCCCGCGGGAGAAGGGTGCTTCGCGGATTTAGACGGCCCTGTCGTCATAGCAACCCTCGGCGAACGCCGGCCTCTCGAACTTGTTCCACGCGCGCAACGCCGAAACGCGCGTTTTCGCGCCGCGAACGGCCGATACGAGCGATCGTATTTCCGCGCCGCGCCAAATCCCACGTAAAAAGTTCCGCTCCGTACTGCGCGCCGGTCATTGAATACAGATTAAAGTGCCAATTGCGACGCGGCAGCTCCGATCGCGGCGTATTTTGCGAGGAGGGTGAGACGGATGCGCTCACTTGTAGTGGAAAGTTCGCCCCGGTGCGAGAATGTGAGAGGAGATTGGAAGAGGAGCCTGTTCAAATTAATCATGAAATCCGTTCCGGCAGTAAGTTGCGCAATTCATCTATCGGTGATGCTTCATGAAGCCTGTCGAGGAATACTTCGCAAATAGGGATGTGTGATACTGTGAAAGTATCGAGACTAATATTGAAATGGCAAACGTCGAATCTCTTCGTGAAGTTTCGCGCCCGGTTTCAATCCCGAACCGTCGCAATAATCATTGTCGTCATTGAATTTTCGCCGTGCGACTCGTCGCGACGTCGTACTTCATTCAACGACGTCGCCGACGTCGTACATTTCAACCGGCGGCTGTGTCGGATTTATCGTTTTAATTTCTGACGGGATTGAGGCGGGAGAAAAGAATAAGATATCGCCCGGGTGCCCGGGGGATTCTCCTCCTCGGAGAGCGCGGAACGAGGTGGAGGCGAAGTACATTCGTCACGAGTTATTAAACGAGGTAACAAAAGACCAACGGAAAAAAAAGATTAGGAGGTAGGATCGGCTAACCATTACACTTGGCTGTAATAGATGACCGAGGATTAAGTCCTCCTTCCCACGCGATGTTAACTCTTTACCTTATTATCGTCATTATTATTATTATTATTATTATTATTATTATTATTATTATTATTATTATTATGGTTACCATTATTATCGTTGCGAGTTTTACAATATTTAACACGACGCTTAGTTCGCGATATATTTTTGAGAATCGGAGGATTTATAGGCGAATAAAAAATCGCACCGTTTTCCCGTGTGTTTGTACACCTCGGTGAGTAGCACAGGTGAATGTAATTAAGGCCCTGTCACAATTATCGGCGTATTTTTACGCGGTCTGTGTGTTTGCGTGTGTACTCCCCGAGCCGTCCGATGTGAGATGCGCTCTTATCAGAGGGTGGAGGAGCCATATTAGGTATTAAATTATGATCAGCCGCAGGCCATGATAACACCGATGCAACAGACGGGCCGTCGCAGGAAGCGAGGCAACCCCGTCGCGGAATTAACCCTCGAGATCGCCGGCGCTTCCGAGGGATAATTTCATTTGGCAGCGAGTCCCGGCCGCCCGCGGGCTGTCTGGCCCGCCATTTTCTCTTTCACTCTGGCTTCCTCTCTTTTATCTACCGCGGAATTTATTCTCGTTGCGATTTCCAACCCTCCGTGCGCGCGGGGTTGTCCGTATCGCGAAGACGGGGACAACCATTGCGCTGCTCGGCAGCGCGCGATGCAAATCGACGTAATTTTATCCCGCCGCTTTCGTCCTTCGATCTCGCGCAAATCTCAAGTTTTAACTTTCCTTTTTTCCAGGAGGGAGGGAGCGTAGGTGCAAAGCGACGGGTTTACGAGCTTCCACGGACGTGATAAACTTCCAAAGCCAGACGGGACAGCGACGGGTGAAATCGGGACGGGGGAGGGTGAGGAAAAAAATAAGGTCCGCATCTTCCCACGAGGACGGTCGGGAGAATGGCGTGGAAACGTCTCCATTTGCGGGACAAAGAGACCGACTTTTTCGGAGTCCATCTTCCACGTTTTATCCTCCGGGGTTATTCACCCCCGGACTTCATCCCTGTCTGACTATCGCACGGAGGGCTGCGGACACTCCGATTGGTGCTTGTCGGACACGCAAAAAACTTTGCGTTCTTGCCGGTCGATTCTTCAGGGCGATGCCAGTACTTATCGCCCCTTAATATCACTCTGGCGAGTTTATGAAGCGAATTATTGATAATCATCAATATTCTCGCCGCTTTTTCATCACAGTGTGCGCTCGACGAACTAGCGCGAAGCTCGTGTTTACTTATTAAGCACACGGGGAAAGCATCGCGGTAAAAACTGTCGCGAAATTTCGTTATACTTACCGGCCATGCCGGAATTACGACCGAAATTATGATGCGTGTTGTAATCTAACGTTTTATTTCACTGTACGCGTATCTGAATATTACAAAACACCTAATCATTCAGTCGTAATGCGGCCCGGCATTACGAAACTTTACGGTAACTTCCGCCACGATATCTTTCCCCGTGTGGAACACGGAACGCACTGACAGGACATCCAACTGATGGAAAATCGGGAAGAATAGTCACGGCGAACGTGGAGCTCCGCGGGGGGGATTTCAATCGCGACGTATTTCTCGCTTTGCAGCGCTGTTTGAAGCAAGGGGCATCAATAAGACGAAATAAATACAGCCGTAAACGTTGGGATTTCATAATGAAATGAAAAATCTTGGCACGCATCTCGCTCGCTAACACGTAATAACGAGCCCATCCTCGGGGGTGGTTAGCCGTCCTCTCGTACCTGTAACATCAATTAAAATTCTCACGGTCGATGCGCTGCTGTTTCGCGCGATCGTCCGGCGCGTTTTTAATTGGATTAGAGCGAGACGGCTAGAGCGACCGAGGGGAAGGTGGCTCGTTCCGAGGGTGCGAGATTGCAGGAAGGGGTTGGCGGGATATTTCGAAGTAGGGCGGGGGGGATGGCTGGCGGACTCAGGTAAATGACAGAGACGAGCGGCCCCTTTCCCAACCCGATTCCGCCGATTCGTCGGAAGGAAAGAGAGCGGCATCCCCCGGAAATGAGGGAATTAGCTTTTCCATCACGGCTTAATTTTTTCCCATTTAACATTTCGCGTCGCGTCGTTTGACGGCCGTCGGATCTCGCCGCCTCGTTTGTGTGATTAGCCCTGTTGTTTTGTCATCCCGTCGCTCGCTTATCGTATCCCCGGTGTGAACGATAGGTCATCGTTTCAGCGAACGGCATCTCGTGACGCACACGAGCCGCTTTTCCGGACGTTTCTCGCATCGAAAATGCGCGCCGTGATAAATGAGCGATCCATTTCGGGCGTCGCATCTGCATTCACAACGCACGCGGCATTAATTATGTATTCAATAAATTTTAAACGCATTGAAATGAATTCAAATTGCAGATTAATATTAAACGGCGTGCGCTAATTGGCCGGCCAATTATGCGGCGTTAATTAAACATTAGAAGCGGTGCCGGCTAATGCGAGCACTATTCCGCCATCTACTGACTTCGCTACGTGCCCTGGGAAGTGCCCGGTTTTAACGTCGCTATCTGCAGGACAAAGCCGCATTCGCATCGGAACACCTGTCCTGCCGCACCATCGGCTGATATTCGCAAGAGTTTCCCGCGCATTGTGCCGAAGGTAGTTCCGTGAAGACTGATAAAACATCCTCGAGCCAAATTTCCAACAAGGTTTCTTCATCACGTTCACCCTCCCCTCCTCCTTCAAGGAATGACGCTTCGTTTGTATTGTTAACGGTCAATAAAATGAGAAACGAATCTTTCTTTTGCATTGCAATCTTTGTAAAATAAAATTCGCTAAGTTCACCATATACGAGTCCCAGACCAATATAAACAAACTTCGTGAGAGCGTAGAACAGATTGAGATGAACGAAAAAGTCCTGTACACGGGGATAGTATTGTCGGAAAAATTACTACAAAAGTTTGTAATGCTGGAAAATACCGGAATTATTAACGAAATTACTATGTATATTTGTAATCTTCGATGATGTACATATCACTAAAAATCACAACACACGCGGCAATTTCGATAATAATTCGGCAAATATTCCGACTTTACAAGCTTTCGCAATCATTTTCACTGAAATACTTTCTCCGTGTACTATTTTGCTAATGACACATAAATTTTTGATCTATTAATTAAAAAAACCTCTATATATAACTGTTTTCAGTAATTAATAATTCGAAATTTCGCGTGTTGTTCGTTAAATGGCACAGGACTTCTTTTCGTTCGCTCCGTTCAATCCGTTCTATATTTTCACAAAGTTTGTCTACATTGATCTAAGACACGCTCTATGTATCGTAGAATGCAAATAATGCTGATTTATCGCGAAATATTAAATATGCATTTATTTTCCGAGCAATGAATATTACATAATATAATAATAGACAGAGAGAGAGAGAGAGAGAGACAAAGGAACGACATTGTTAGAAAAGGAACATTTTATTACACTCAGCTACGATCGTTACAACATATTGATGTACGTATTTATACGGGCGCATCGAACATCCATTCTAATCGTCGTTCTGCATGAGGAAGAGACGCGAGAAACGGAACGGAGAAATCGAGTGGAAAATAAAAGAAATATCCTCCTCCAGAACGCGTTGTCAACGGAAACACCTTTATTTGTGTGATATGTTCTCGACCGGTGATGCAATTAGAGCGCGTACGCGTCGCCGAAAAGTATCGGGAAAATCTCTGATCAAAACCACCTGATTCCATCGAGCGGTCTGTACTTCCGCGATTCATCGTTATTGACTGAAATTAACAGAGAGTTGCGCCCGAGAATCACTATCAATGGCTATATCAACCACCAATTATATTACAACGTATTGACTATATTAATGTTACACCTTACAAGTTCGTTCGATTGGTTATGCAGCTAAAACGCGGTTACGTGTGATGAGTTAAAGGTAAGATAGCGAGTGGCGGACATTACATTACTCTTCCGAGACCCAAATTGACGAGATCGGAGAGTTCAGATTCCTCGTCGTCCTCGTCTTCCGTTTAATTCGTTAAAGTATGCGTCGTACGCGGTATTTATTGACAATATTATTGCAAATCACGCTTGCACCTGTGTTCTGCTGCTTATACGAATTACATTGGCGAAAAATTCCGCATCGATCGCTTCCAGACAGTCCGATCGCCTCGCCAATGCAAAACCGTGATTACTTTTACGCTGTTATTTTTCATTAGAGGAATCTACAACACCGACAGTCGGTAAGAGCGCATTCCTCGCTCTTTATGTATCGTACACCGGTAAACGGGCGATTAATGGACAGTACGCGTGTCTCCACATCGTCTGATGAAAAGTCTTGCGACATTGGCAGTATTACGGTGTAGATACGACCGGAAAGACGCATTTTCGTTCGTGCAAAAGATAGACGCTGTAGCGTCTCTCGTGAGAAAACACTAAATGGATATACTCGGCGCAAGATGCTACCGCGTGTCTTGATAGAGAGCTCCCTCTCTGTTCAGCTAGTAGAAAATCTCCTCCTTTCTTCGTTAGTTCATGCGCAATCATCCCGGTAATATAAATCCTCCAACCCGCGTGGAAGGTCGTCGCACTGAGTTCTGGTTACAGCGGGGTCTCCTCTTCTTCAAGTTACCTCGGAGTCGGAGGCGGGGGTGGTGGTCATACAGCACTTCCCGTGTAGAAGCTCGCCTTGCCGGCTATCCCGGACGCTCGCTTCCTCTTCTCGCACTCCATCGTGCTGAAGGTGTTCTGGGCGATCTGCGACTTGCGCTTCGGGTTTTGCAGGGTCATGCTGCGCTGACTGGAGTTGGAGCTGGAACTGGTGCCCGGCTCCGATACCCTGAGGATGCCGGAGTGTATAGTCCCGAAGTTCTGGTATATGTACTGCGACTGGATCGCCGACACCGAAGTGTTCTGATTCTTCAGCGTGATCGGCACGGTCTGGCCGGCCAGGCTGTTGAAACGGGTGTCGTAGCCGAACGGGGTGTCCAGCAAGGACTCGTTCTTGTCGGAGTAACCGCTCAGTCTCGAGTCGAGTAGACTCTCCTTGTCGGCGAAACCGCTCAGCCTGGAGTCCACGACACTCTGGTCGGCGTTCCTCGCGGAGAAGTCGGAGTAACGTTGCTCTTGCTGGCCGTGTTCTTTGTTGCCGTCCGAGAAGGCGATCATGTTCTGCCTGGAGTCCGACAGGATCCGGGAATCGATGAAGCCTTCCTTGTCGGTGAAGCCGCTAAGCCGGGAATCTATGACGCTACTACCCTCCGACTTATCGGCGAAGCTGTACCGCGGGTCGACGTTCTTGTTTTCCGGGTAGGCCGGCAACACGTGCGACAGATCTGCCTTATCGACGTAACTGATGGCCTGCGGGTTCGACGCGCAGATGTCGGGCGCCGACTTGCAGAGCAACGAAGTTCCTTCTTCGGCTAATTTTTGAGGCGCTACGACACAGAAGTGCGGACTTACTCTTTCTTTCCTCCGGGCATGAGAGAAGAAAGCGCGCTTACATTTGTACAGGGTGTCCCGCAGCACGTTTGGACGTCTGTTAGATCATTGGGATTCCGCCGGATCCTCTCGGGATCTCAGGATCACGCCCGGACATATATATATAGCCGTACAGGATATCTCTACGGCGGATATGATTTCCTCACGGATCCCTCGATCTTTACAATCTACGCGAACGCTAGGCGCGCACCATCACACGCGGGACACCCTCTCTCTCTCTAGCGATAAGTTCACCCACTTTTGGCTGGCTGACCGAAGGGTCGAGCCTGCGGCGGCCCCGGCGATTTCTGATGCGCCCTCACGAGATATTCCGAGCTGAGACCCCTCTGCTCCCTGAGCTTCCTCTCGGCACCCGGGACCATGACCCTCACCTAAAAAAACAAAAGACGTGAATATCCCCCGGGCTGGGCGTGGCAAGGCGGTATTCGGCGATAAAGCTAAGAGTCCGCTAACCCCCCGGGGTTCAGGCAACGCGTGTTGTTTCACGTTTCAACGTTTGGGCTTTTAATTGGGGTTGGTGGCACCGGTCCGAGCGGACTTCTAGCTGAAACCGGACGGAATAATTCGCGGTGAGAGAATTTTGATCGACAACTTCACCATCTCCTCAACCGTGGAGAACCGCGCCATGTAGCCGGACATCGTTAAAACGGCCGCCACTTCCGCAAGGATCAGCGCTAATCCCGAGAGCTGGAGACACCAGCCGTAGTGATACTGAGGTAGACCGTTATCGTCCATTTGCATGCCGGTCGGCGACGGCAAACTGTATTTCCCCGGTAGCTCCAGTGATGCGTCCGACAACGCCGACGCCAAGACTATCAGGCCGCCGCCCAAGGAAAGTCCTGAAATACACACCCTGTTATTTCTCATTTGTTTCTCACCCGTTGGATGGAAATGATCAATAAAATCATGCACGAGTATAGATTGTCCGAACTCGTGGAGGAAGAAGAAAAAAATGTATCGAACAAGCGAGAATTTGGGAGAAATTGAGTTGTCCCAAAAATATCCGGCCAGTTAAAAGTTTGGGGAATTTCTCACTTCTAATCCGTTGCTCTCGTGTCGCTCGGCGGTGCAAAGTTCTCAGTTATCAATAATTTCCGCCCGTACGTGACGACCGAAGGGTCGAGGCGCAACTATTGGGAACGGGAACAAAATTGCCAAACTAGTAAGTAAGACGTGACCGCGGGACATGTTCGAGAATTCGGAACATCGCCCGTACGCGCTTTATCACGGCAATAGTCCTCCTTGCGGCATGCGCATCCCGAATATCCGCAGTTAAGAACGCAATAACGGAACAGCTTACCCCGTCATAACGGGGGAGTATCGTCGGGCTCGGGATTGAACCGGCAGCGACTGTCGCCAGCCGGCTCCTCCTCGCTTTACGCGTATGCAAATTTTTACGTTCGCTGCTTTACGGCCGGCAGGAGCGCGGTTTGGTCGAAGCTAAGTCGGGATTAGGAGCAGGTCGGAATCTAGATGGGCTTACGCCGAGTTAGGTTGAATTTAGACGAGCTCAGGCTCGGAGCACATGTTACACTCGCGCGCGAGTCGATTACACGCGGCGCTCGCAAATATTCGCGTCTTCCTACGGGCGATGATTTGTTTTTTTCATCTCGTGTGACGACCGTTCTTCTCTCCAGCAGCTTCTCGAGGAGGTTGTAAGGCGATGAGAGTTCGGTGAGGATCATTTGTACATATTCGTACATTTATATACCTCTTGCTATTATCTCTGCATCTCCATTAGTTGATGTGTAAATATAGTATTGATGAGAAAAATAAAAAGAATAATGTTTTCGTAGATAGTAGAAATTTATGTATAACTTTATGTATGTAATCTTGCTCGACAAATTGTGTGCATGTGTGTGTGTGTGTGTGAGGTACAAGCGAGATGAAAAGAGAGTACAGGCTGAGCGACATCGGAAAATCGCTCCTGAGGTGTAAATAATTTCGAAGACGAGATCGTACTTGAAAAAGCATCACCCGACAATGTTCGTGAGCATTGTGAATAATCTGACGGGCATGTTTGTGCGGTCACTGGCAACTGTTAGTGACGTATTAGATGATCAAGGGGACTAATGTTACGTTCGACAATCACTAGGCGCACCCTCAGTGATTACCGTTGGTCTACGATAATTGGCAGGTACACGATCGCAATTAATGAGTGTACGGGATCACGTGATAGGGGGATGACGTCACACATTTATCAGCGATATTCTCTGATGAATTAAATCAGATAAGATCAGGGACTGACCGGCGATTACAAATAACTGCTTTTTTATAAGACGGCGCAAGCGGGCACCGCTCGAGCCGGTGAACCATAAAGATTTCATTCCGGTCGCCGGTCGTCATGGGAATCTCCCGTATTTGTGGAGGAACGACGCCGCTCATATCGCGAAGCGCCATGGCTTACGGGGGATACGGACGATCGAATCATAATAAAAAGGAGATTGGCGGCCCGCGGGAGACAGCTTACGAGGGGGAGGAAATTGTCCTTCCAGTCTTCGCTCGCCGTGCAATGTTGCCTTATGGCTACTGAATCCGCCTCGACAAAGCAATTACCGTGTCGATAACAAAGTAATAATCTCATTTAGGAGGGCGATTTATCAGAGTCGAGAAAATTAGCAGCTCCCGTGAACCCCCACGGGGTCCAAGATGTCTCCACAGAATAATCCGATCCACACGCGAATTTCCGCAATATATACGCGGTAAGGGAAAGAGGGTGGAACGGCGATTAGCTAATTTTTTATAAGCCAATAGCAAATAACGAGTCGGTGCACAAATTATCAAAAGGTATTTTCTTCTTCGCAAAGAATCGCACGATTACCGTACATTTTTTTTTCACTTTTTCTGCAAAACTACCGTATTATATCCGCATGATGACCGCATGTGACAATAGCGATGACGATTTTATCGCGAGCTGCATTGGTAAAGGTCGACGATCTCCGGGAATTTTCCGAAGTCAGTCGCGAGACACCGCGTGTGTCCCGTAATGACGGATCGCAAATGCACCTCCGCACGAATTAATTTTATTACAGCTCCCTGTAATTCTCAATGCGCCTGTGTACACCCTTTCGTAGCCGAATAATATCCGACTGTGCGAGCGCGAATGCCACGTACACACCGACAGAAACTTCCAGTTCTCTCCTTGTTTCCACGTTCGTCGACTAAATTGCAATTACTGCTAATTAATTGAGCAAAGGTTTGAGTAGTTACCGGCGGACAAAGCAAGGCGCGACTATGTCAACGAAGAAATTCTAGTCCAGCACGTCGATCGTGATCCCGTCTGTGTAAATAATGTGGGCGTGTAAAAATTTGTTGCGAGTTTCGCTGAAAAATAAATCAGCTCTGATTACAGCACATGATGCTTTTCACATTTTATCCCCGATATTCAGCGGAAATTTATTTTTCATCATAGGAAAAAATTCGTCTCTTCCCGCATCTTTCCGAAAGTTTAATTCGAATTTTTTACTTTACTCGTTCATATGACTTGTCGTTATACACTCCTTACTCCTTGATCGGTACTTTCTATATAATCGAGAAGGATGTTAAAAGAATCTCTCAAAAAACAGCCCGACATATCAGGAGATATTTATTAATACATACCAAGATTGAAAAAAATGTTGATTGCCATAAAATGAACATATCTCCGAGAGTTTAGCCTCACCACGAGTGATTCATACTTCGCTTATACCTATCGAGATTATCGCGTCCTTCCCCCCGGCCCCGCGATCACCGCTGATGTCTGGCCGCCCATCTCTCGCCGAACGTTGAAACCTGCCAATTAATCAGCAGTAATTACAATCTACTCGTCGAACAGAGCCGAAAGTTGCCGGATTGATGCGCCCCCTTTCATCCCTCCGTCCCACCCCCAATGCCCGGAACGTAACACGCGTGTACCTTGGGCTCTCTCTTGAAAGTGCCTTAGATCAAAGTTGACAAACTTGATTCACTCTATTGGAGGCTGAGCTTGGCTTTCACGCAGGCCCGCCGGTGGATAGTTCGCCGCTTCCAGCACGGTCTGGCAATCTTGGCTAATCAAACTACACCCGGCTACGTAGTCGGACGTACCGCCGGAAGTGGCCGGAGATACCCCCGACTCGTTTATTGCCGGGAAATCCGACGGGTGGATGAACACCGTGCATTCCGTAGATATCGATTGTTGCGTTTAAATATAAGCGCTTCGGCGCTATCCTCATTCCTTCTACCGTTTCTCCTGAGCCAATGTCCGCAACGGAATTTTCCTCTTATCCACACGATCTTGTCGGAAGAAACGTATCGAGGTAAACTCGTATGTATCGAGGTCATCTCGAAATCTTCGTACCTTTAGCTTGCCATCGAAATTGTTCACTTTGACTGAGTTTAAATAATAAGAGAGAGAGTAAAATATTATGACATAATTATTTTGTTTGGGCGCGCCCCGTCGTTTCTTAACTCCATTTTTCCATTTTTCTGTTTCACCGCTTCTTATTACACAATCAAGAGATTTTTCTTTTACCGTTAATAAATAATATTACCGAGTGATTACTAAATATTAATGTTATATGATGCAGAGAACGTGAAATAAGTGAGTAGAGATAACGCAAGAGCGATTTCATGCGCGTGTTTGTACAGTCTGGCCTACATAAACGCGTCTCGTCAGCTGAAGGGCACGTGATCTCGAAAACAATAATATACGTAGATACACAACGAAGAAGCAATCATAACAGTCGCCGGCTTGAGGCTAAATACGTCGGGCGACGTCGTGTGTTATTTTCGATTTCTCCGTTTCGTTCAGTCAGTATGTGAGACGCGAACGATACTAGTGTAAGATCATCTTGGACAATGTCGGAAAATTGTCTCAAAATCGGAATATCTTTTTTTCTTTCTGTAATACTTGATACTGAAGCCGACACGATTATCGGGAAGTGTAATTCTCGCGAACGTGGACACCACAGAGGATTCGGTTTCAACCAAGCAGAGTCGAAGCTAAGTTCACCGACTCTGTCCATGTTCTCGCGTTGAACTCTTTGCGTTCGCAAACTGGGACATAGTTGTTGCGACAAGAATCGCCGAGTTGCAACTCGATCGCAAGGAGTTTACACGCTCGTATAACATCCCTCTCGCGCGTTTAGTCTCATTTCGACAATTCCCGAAGTTTCCCGAAGAAGACTCAGGAATTAATGGCGCACGTTGGCGCGGGTGTTTGCAGTGTTGGCCGGCCTACGCAAGCGTGCGTCAACATTGAGAGAAAAGAAAAACACTACGCGCGGAAACCTATTTACGTTACTCTCGAGCGAGGCCAATTCCAAAGCGAGCGATTCGACCACGCGATGAAATTCTATCTTCTTCTTCTTCTTCTTCTTTATATTGGCTAATTATGTCAGCGAGATGACAGCCTCAGACATAAGCCTCTCATTGAACGAAACTTTTTCTATTAGCGCAGCAACTCGTTAATAAACAAAACGACCATACTGATTACATTGGAATAAGAACTGCTGTTGAAGCAATATTTCCTTGACTCAAGTAAAATGGTCATTCTCTCCAGTAACAGGCTACAGTTATAACATCGTGAATATTTCTAAAGCTATAAATTATAATAAATGTGTTTGTGTGTGTGTGCGACTGCAAGACAAGATCTGCGAGATAGATCAGTTTTTATTAGTTCTTGGCTGACCTTCTCGGAACGTGCACACGCGCAAGAGCAGGAGTTACTTTCTTCATTCCTCAGGTAAGTCTCATTGCGTGCATAAAATCTGATATATCTTTCTTTCTTTATGGCGAAGATACAATGTTATTATCTTAATATGCTTTAAGAATTATGTTGATGATTTGCATATTTCAATCGATTTGCATTTGGATATTT